CTTGACGATTATTTTATGAAGCTGGTTTCGGCTCCTCCTGCTCATCCGTCTCATCATCATCAGCAGCATCATCATCACCATCACCATCACCATCACCATCATCATCATCATCATCTTCATCATCATCATCATCATCATCATCATCATCATCATCATCACCATCATCATCATCATCATCATCAACATCATCATCATCATCATCATCATCATCATCATACTCAACGTCATCGTCGTCATCATCCACACCATCATCATAATCACCATCATCATCACCACCATCAGCATCATCATTATCATCTGCATCATCATTCTAATCGTCACGTCATCGTCACCACAACCCTCCTCGTCCTCCTCCTCCCCCTCCTCCTCCTCCTCCTCCTCCTCCTCCTCCTCCTTTTCATCATCATCATCATCATCACCATCGCCATCGCCATCAACAGCACCATCTTCACAATCATCGCACTCATCATCACAATCATCATCATCATCATCACCGTCATCATCAGTATCAGCTCCATTATCCTCGCCATCGTCTTCTTTATCGTTGTCGTCATTGGCTCTCTTTGGTTCGAGTAAACTTTGGCACTCAGACACTTATCTCGTATCTGCTGTCGGTGAAGCTGTTTCTGCTTTGAAGATGATCCGCATCCTGTCCATGTCAGCCGCCGCGGCTGTTAGTGGTCTGCAGATCTCACAGGATCCCACGAACCTTATGAACGTCACGGCGCCCATGAACCTTATGACGTCTCGCCTCGGATCTGGAGTAGTGAGAGCAGCCTCCTCAGTAGCCTTGGATCCGGAGTTCACAAACACGCTGGGCGAGAAATTCCACGTGGCTTGGCCTGGAGAGTTCAATCTGATCGGAATGCCCAAGGATGCGGACATTGTGTCGCCCAGCGGTGCGGCGCTGGTGGTGAATGCGACCCTTGAGGACGTCGGCCTGAAAGACTGCGATGATCTCCTCATCCGCAAGGTCACCGTCTTCGGCACGAAGCTCGGCAGCGTCACTTCCCTGGAGTTCGCGATTGGCAGCGACGACTTCAACACCACCGATGCACTGGGCCTGAAAATCGACGGAGTCTCCAAGACTGTGACGGAATTCCTGGCAGAGATGCCCACATGCACATTCACCCGTCCTCGAGTGGTCGCGCTTCCCACCAAGAACAGCTTCCGCAAGCGCTCGGCGATGTACAGCGCAATTTGCAACATCGGCGATGTGCCGAACACGGTCACTCTGACCTGGTCTTCCGTGTGGCGTAAAAACTATGGTGATGTGTACTACCAGAACGACCTGGAGGTGTTCGTGTCGGGTGTCGGAAGCGATCCTGCAGGGCTCCTGGGACCGGATGACCATTCGTGGACGCAGCAGATTCACAGCGCTTGCACGAGGTAGTAGCCGCTGGGTGGACTTTTGGGCTTTGCGCCGCCAGCTACCGCAAGCAGCCCAGCGGGGCGCCCGCGAACTTGCTGGCCCTTCACGAGGAAGAGATTGCACCCCGCTCTCCTCCTCCCAGGGTCGCGAGGCACGTCACGTGCCACCGAGTGCCCCCCCAGCATCGGATCCGGGTCCGCGCCGGTTGGGCGGGGCGGCGGCGGGAAGGCAGAGCGCGGCCGGCTCTGGCGAGCCTGCGCTTTCCGCCCAGCTTTGGCCCCCTCCAGCCTTCTGCCCCCAGAGCTTGAGGGGGAGTCGGGGGTGGACAGAACCCCCAACAGTTTCACGTCGATTGGTGAATTGTCCGTTTCCGGTTCTCGAGACGGCGCCGTGGCCGTTCTTCTCCAGGCCTGCGCCCGCCAGGTTTGGGCCTCGGGTCCTTGTCACCAAGCCACGCCATACGAAAGGGGGGTCTGTCCATCCCCGAGGGAGGGCGGTCGGGGCGGGCCAGGACACATCGTTCCAGTACGGTAGGTTTGCGTCGTGTCGACCAGCGGCGACCCCAGCGCGGGCGTTCAAGGCTGAACGCCGCCGGCGACCCAGAATCGGTCGATGCTGAACGATCGGACGTGGCGGCAGCGGCCGATCGTTCAAGGTTGAACGATCCCTGCGGTGTCAAAAACCAACGCTGGGGTCGGCACGACACGAACCTGCCGTACTCCCGCAGGGCCCCCATCGGAGCCTTCTGGAGCGCTCCGGAGAGGCCGCCGCACCACCCCGAGGCGTCCTCCAGAGCCGCCGGGATCTCGGCGATCCCCGCTTTTCCGGGGGCCTCGAGGCGGGGGTCAAGGCAAACGGGGGTCAGCCAGGGCCCCTCCTCCTCCTTCTCCTCCTCCTCCTCCTCCTCCTCCTCCTCCTCCTCCTCCTACTACCCTTCCTCCCCCTCCTCCTCCTCCTCCTCCTCCTCCTCCTCCTCCTCCTCCTTCTCCTCCCCCTCCTCCTCCTCCTTCTCCTTCCCCTCGGGGCTCAAGAGACGGGGGTCAAGAGACGGGCACCGGATCCTGCAGGATCCTGCGAAGAACCCCTCTGGCTAACCCGGGTTAGCGAGCCGCTCGTAGCCGCGAGGCGGCCGCGCATGTTGGCTGACCCGGGGTTGCGAGGATCTGCGTTGCCGTTTTTTTGTTTTTTCCTGCACTGCAGTTGTTTGGCTTCCTGCTGACCCGGGTCTGGATTGACCCGGGTCAGGAGCTCCCCGAGGTTTATCCCTGTCCGATTTCTTCGCGGTCTTGGCCTTGTCACAGGGTGGGGGGAGGGAGGGCACCCAGGGGCCCTCGCGGAAGGGGCGGCGTCGCAGGAGGGAGCGGTTGGCCGAGCCCTGCTCCCCCCGTCCCCCCTGCCCTTCCCTGGCCTCCCCCTGCTCCTCGAGGCAGCCAACCAGGAACACAGAGGACACCATGAGGGCCACCCCCCCCACCATCCCTAACAAGAACAATACACAGTAAACGTTTGGGCAAAAAGTCCAGAGTCATGTTCGTGAGGCCCGCGAGCACTTTGTATGGTTTTTTGAAAGGGACGGCGGGGGTGTGAGCATACTGCCTGCTGCGCGCAGGGCTACCATCCCTGACAACAAATAGTACAACCACCCCGCGATCATTGTCAAGTGGTGTATGGCCTGCTGTGCGAAGCCTACCAGACACAATGATGGGCATTGGCTTGCGAGATGGATGGTCGGGGCCGACATGTTTCCTGATGTGTGCTGTCACGTGCGCAGGCGCACCTGACACATTCTGCACGTGCCCCTAATGTGGCGCACCTGGCGCGACTGGACTGTGCGGCACACCTGGCGCACTCGGAGCACGTGGCGCATCTGGTGCACCAGGCGTGCCTGGTACGCTCGGGCCCCAGGGGTGCCTGGCGCGCGAGGCGCCCCTGGCACGCGTGGCGCACCTCGCTCCAGCGTCGCGCAACTGAGGTCGGCTTTGGTTCCCAGTAGCTGCCTATCCAAAGACGACCGCTGAACATGCTCAGGCTCGCGTGTTACTTCTGTCTTGGGAGGGCGGGTGGGAGTGAGCTGGAGGACTTGCTATCTACGGGGTGTCTTGATCGCTGTTCCCTATTAGTATGTACCGGCCGGCGGCCAACCCAGAACCATGCCAACCCCATGAGGACCGCCCCCCCCACCATCCCTGTCAACAAAACAATACAAAACGCACTCTGCCTCCACATTTGGAGCATGCGCGGCCAACCCGATGCGGCCCCCGCCCCCTCGATCCCTGTCAAAAAAATAGAAAGTACACCTCGGGGCCCGAGAGCACGTTGTATTGTTTTTGACATGGACGGCGGGGGTGTCAGCATATTCCCTGCTGCGCGCAGGGGTACCATCCTTGACAAAAAATAGTATCAACTACATCTCGCGGCTAAATATGGGCCAAGCGCGGCCACCCCACGATCACTGTCAAGTGGTTTTTGACCGGGACGGTGGGGGTGGTAGCGCATGGCATGCTGCTCGTTGGCTCACCAGACACAATGATGGGCATCGGTTTTCGACAAAGATGGTGGGGACCGACATGTTACCCCATGTGTGCTGTCACGTGCGCAGGCGCCCGTGACGCACATTCTGCACGTGCCCCTAATGTGGCGCACCTGGCGCGGCTGGACTGTGCGGCACACCTGGCGCACTCGGAGCACGTGGCGCATCTGGTGCACCAGGCGTGCCTGGTACGCTCGGTCCCCAGCGGTGCCTGGCGCGCGAGGCGCCCCTGGCACGCGTAGCGCACCTCGCCCCACCGTCGCGCAACTGAGGTCGGCTTTGGTTTCCAGTAGCTGCCTATCCAAAGACGACCGCTGAACATGCTCAGGCTCGCGTGTTACTTCTGTGTTGGGAGGGCGGATGGGAGTGAGCTAGACGGCTTGCGAGCGGGTGGGTAGCTTGACCCCCTCCCCTACCTTTTCCCCTGCGCCTGGGGGGGGAAGGGACGGAGAGGCTGCAGCGTCCAAGGTGGCCCAAGATGGTCCAAGAGGGTCTCAGAGATCCCACGATGGCCTCCAAGACTGCTTAAGATACCTCCAGATGGCTCAAGATAGCCCCCGACAAGCATCCAAGAGGCCCCAAGACGACCCCAAGACGGCTTCAAGTGCCCTCCGAGCCCTTCAAGGACCCTCCAAGAGGCCCAAATTGCCTTCTTGCCTTGTCGCTGCCTCAAGGCCCCCTGTGCCGCTGGCCTGGGTCAGGGGCGATCGTCCGCAGGCCTTCTTGCTGTACGCACGGGGCCCACAGTGCGTCCCGACGCGTGCCCTCATCCCACCCCGATCCGATGCTCCTCCGCCTCTCCTCTCCTTCTCTCCTTCTCCTCTCCTTCTGTCCTCCTCCTCCTCCTCCTCCTCCTCAATCCTCCGGCCCCCCTGAGAAGGCAGCCCGCGACTGCGTCAGCTCACCGCCCCTCCCCTCGCCAGCCTGGAACATATCCCCATCCCTATCATCGGCATCGCCTCATCTCGATGCCGATCTTGGGGATTCCCTCCGCGTCTGAGGGCGGACCCCTAAGACTGTCGTCGACTTTTGGCTTGTTAATCTTAGGGACAGGGATACGTTCGGGGCTGGTGATCCCCCGCGCCCCCCGCAGCGCAGGCCCCGCCCGAGCACCCGGCCCGCGTGCGCAGCCGCAGCCCGCCCGCCGAGGGGGGCGGCCCGCCGAGCGCGCCCGCCGCTCGGCGCGCGCGCGCGCGCCGCGGGCCCGGCGGCCTTCGGAGGGGCCTTTCGGACCCTCGCCGATCTGCGGGGGCCGTCGCCGAGTCGCGAGGGCTGTGCACGACCGCGGGGGGGTGGATCCCTGACCTTCCAGAGAGCTATTTTTTAGCACTGGAGGCCTAAGAACCTGAAAAACTGAACGAAACAGCCTAAAACCAAGGCGTAGAATAGCTTTGGGATAGGTTTTTAAGTCGGGTGCCATTTTTTAGCCCTCCTGGAAGGTCAGGGATCGCGTAGGGGGGTTGGATCGCGTGGGGGGGGGGGATCGCGTGGGGGGGGGGGATCGCGTGGGGGGGGGGAAGCCGCTGTCCTTCGGGGGGCGTGGGCAGGTTGGGGAGCGAGAGGGGGGTGGGTTTGGGGCGCGTGGGGGGGGGGGCGGGCAAGGGGCGTCGGACAGGTTGGCACAGGGGGGGGTGCTTGTCGAAGGATGTGGAGTACCATGTCTCCGAGGATATGACCGCGGCCACGGCCCGACGGCCTTCGGTGGGGCCTTGCGGACCGCCGCCGATTCGCGAGGACTGTGCACGGCCGTGTTGGAGTCGTGCAGATCCGCCCCCAGGGAGGGCACCGTCGATCTCGGTCCGCGGGCCACGCGGGCCAGGATGGACGGTGGCCAAGACCGGCACTGCGTTTTTGCGTTCAGTCTTGTCGTGGTCCCTGTCCTTTTCCACTCGAACGAGCAGGGCGAGTCCTGCCGCGAAGGTGTGGCGGACACCGCAACGGCCAAGTGGGGTGGATATCAGCATCCACGGAGTTTGAACAGGATTGCGGCAACGTCCGCCTACTTCGGATATTGCCCAGAGTAAGGAGGCGGATCCAGGGTCTGGGTGGGAGTGAAAACAGTATATCGTCGGACGACATCATGTTTCAATCCTTCGAGGGAGGAACCACACAGACCATGACCAAGATGCCGTGGGACCTTGTCGACGCCGATCCTGGTCATGGCATGGTCATTGCAGGCCGTCGCCGATTTGCGAGGGCTGTCCAGGGATCGACGGAGTTGGAAAAGTATTGCGGAAAAGTCCACCCTACCTAGGACATTGCCCAGAGTAAGGCGGATCCAGGGTCTGGGTGGGAGTGAAAACAGTATATCGTCGGACGATATCATGTTTCAATCCTTCGAGGGAAGAACCACACAGACCATGACCAAGATGCCGTGGGACCCTGTCGACGCCGATCTTGGTCATGGCATGGTCCGTGCAGGCCGTCGCCGATCTGCGAGGGTTCTCCAGGGATCGCGACGCTGACCAGGATGGACGGTGGCCAAGACCGACACCACGTTGCTGCGCTCGGTCCCGCCACGGTCCTATGCTTTTTCTTCCCCGCCATTTCTGGCGCGCGTCCCTCGATGTCGGCCTCTGGGGCCTGTCCAGTGATCGACGCTGACCAAGATGGACGGTGGCCAAGACCGACACCACGTTGCTGCGCTCGGTCCCGCCACGGTTTTCTTCCCCGCCACTTCTGGCGCGCGCCCCTCGATTTGCGAGGGCCGTCCAGGGATCGACGCTGACCAGGATGGACGGTGACCAAGACCGACACCACGTTGCTGCGTTCGGTCCCGTCACGGTCCCATGTTTTCTCCCAACCCTCCTTGGTTGGGCATTCGTTTTGAACAGAGCACCGTGGTCGCGTCTTGCTCCTCCCGCCTCCCGCCTCCCGCCTCCCTCTTGTCTCCTCTCGCCGTGTGGGTTGAGGCACCGCGCAGATTTGAGCGAGACCTCTCCCTCCCTGGGTGCCTGCGTTGGGTCCCGTCACGCTCCCCTGTGTTCTCTGCCCCGCCAACCTCTGGCGCGCTTGTCCCTCGACGTCGGCCCTCCGGGGCCTGCCGCGGCGGCTTCGGCCACGGCCCCGCGGCCCTCGCGAAAGGGCCCCTCGGACCCAGAGCTCCGCCCGGAGCGGAGCCGGCCAGCAGGCGCAGATCGGAGGGTCGAGCGAGGCTTGAGTTTCAATGTCTTCTCGCCCTGCCCAGAGCACGAACCCAGGAACAAGTCCAGGGCTGCGGCTTCCATGAAAGATTCCAGACCTCCGACGATCGGATTGTTTCAAGGCGGGCGCTTTTCCACGGTTACCGCCCTTTGGGGCTCGTGGTCAGGCCTGGGGCCAGCAGAAACGGGTATGAGCCGAAAAAGTAAGTCCAGGGAAGGGGTCGGCAGCTTTGGGGCGGCGGGTTGAGGGTGAAGGAGGCTCAAGCCCGCGGCAGGCGGCGACGATCGACGCTGTGCTAAACACGCAGTGCGCCACAATCTTACAAAACAGTACGCTCGCCAGGAAAGAACTCATTAGCATTGTGTGTTCGTTGAGAAGAGGCTGCGAACACAATGAAATTCTGCGACGCGCTGTTGGACAACATCTGCAGACCAAGAACGCCACTGACAACCGATCACACTGCCGAAAGTTTTCAATTTGCACCTCCATGTAAGACTCGGCCGGCCTGTTTTTCGACGACCGCGTGGCGACCAATTCAGGCGGCTTCTCGCGATGCACCTCGTATCTGGCAAATGCTGACCGCATTCAGCTAACGACGAAAATTGGTGCCCACGTACGAATTCCAGCATTCGCTACGAAGCTGCGTGCATACTCGTTCAAAAAATGCCACATATCACGCCATGGTCACTCCCAATCAACTTGTGTGGGTGGTCCAACAATCTGTCGTACGAGGCGTCGAAATTCGATGTCCATCGCCTTCAAGTCGTCTACATACATCGGGCGACGTTCTGCCGCAAAACATGCTGGTGCCGATGCGACAGAATGAATCAGTTTCAATATCTGAGTGATGGTGGCTCGCTTGTCGCAGAACATACGGCGGTTCGCATATCATGCCTTGGCTGAACCTTGCATCTGGTAGTTCAGATCCAGGGTGAGGGATGATGCGGCCTCCCCTGTGTACAACATGCAACCAACCCACTTATGAGCAGACTCTTTGTTGACCACGTCAACCAGCAGCTCCTACAGTAGCGGGTCGAGCAATAGGCATACTTCCCTCCGACTAAGCAAATAAGAACAGGCCGTCTGCGAAACGCAGGTTTGTCAAATGCTCTCCGCCGTCTCCGATGTCTATCCCCCGATGTCGAACCTTCTACTTCCAGCACGACGTTGCCCACTTCACGGCGGGCGCGAGCAGCGTAGCACTCAGCACACACCCTTGGCGGAAGGCCGGCGGAAATGGGACATGCTTCACGCTTCGCGCATCCCCACCAGCCCATTCTCAGAGCGTGAACTACCTACCCCGCTTTCGCTTCCAGACAAAACCAAGCCATACCACGCGCCTTCTCGTCAAGCGGCCTGAACAGTACAGGCTGCAATTTGGCATCGTTTGGTATCTCTTGGAAGCGAGGGTGGTCAAAAGCGAGGTAGGTTTGTTTTCCCCCTACATTCACAACCCCTGCCCATGATAGGTGACGGGGAAAAAACGGGACGAAGAGGCACATGTGGTGAAGCAAGAGCAAGGGGGTGGCCTTGGAGGGCCCCATCGCGCCACCCCTGGGGCCCCGCGTGGGGGCGAGGGGAGCAGGAGGAGGAAGAGGAGGCGGAGGAAGACGACGACGACGACGACCACGACGACGAGGAAGAGGAGGAATAGGACAAGGTAGAATATGAGGGTAAGGACGAGGACGAGGAGGAGGAGGAGGAAGAGGATGACGAAGACCAGGACAGGGCCATCAAAATCGCCTCCTGGGAACGTTTTGGGGGATCTTGGGGTCATCTTGGGGCTCCTTCGGGGGGTCTTGGGGCCCTCTTGGGGCCCTCTTGGGGCCCTCTTCGGGGCCTGTTGGGAGCCCTGGAGGGCCTGTTGGGGCCATCTTGGAGGGCGTCGGTGAAAAGAGAGGGGTCGTACAGGTCCCCCCTCTGGGGCTATCCAACTCGCCGCTTGGGGCCTCTTGAAACACTCGTGGCCCGATCGTAGGTGCTCTTGGGGCCGTCTTGGGGGCCTCTTGGGCCTCTCTTGGGCCATCTTGGTGCCATCTGGAAGCCTCAAAACCGCATCGGCAGCGAAAAGGCGAGAAGGCACAAATCATTGATTGTCCTTAGGTTTCGAATGATTTGGGCCTCTTGGGGGGGTCCTGAGGGGGCTCCGAAAGCATTTCGGTCCGTCGTGTGGCCCTCGTCGGGCCTCTCGGAGGCATGCCGGAAGCTATCTTGATCCATCTTCGGTTATCTTGAGCCGCCCACCTCGGATGTCATTTTGGAGCATCGGAGGCCCTCTTGCAGCCATCTTTGGCCATCTTGGGCGCCCTACCGATCGCGAAACCTCAAAAACCACCCAGGGAGGAGAGGCGGAGGGTAAACCTTTCCGAATGGAAGAGGGTCTTAGAATAGGAAAGACAGATACCGTTAGCCCACGTTAGCCCACAGGGATGGTGGGATTCATCGTTGCATGTGCTGTTGCCCCGGCAATGACACCCACTTGGTCGGCACAGAGTTGTCGAATGATCCACACCATATGTTCGGACACCCCATGCGCGCGGAATGCTCGCCATCATGGATACACAGCGCTCTTTCATCGAAAGCTTTTGAGAAGTCTAAGCTGATGGTCCAAATCGGTACTCCCACGGCGAGTGTTTTATGGATGGCAATGCTGGACGATGCCATGGGCGGGTACCTGGTTGCGCAACCTCAGCACACTTCTGCGGAGCAGAGGTGGACTACTATGCAAGATCTCTGCGACGAGACCTTTCGCATCTGCAGCCTTATTTCTCTTCATCCGTCCAATGGCGACGCGCAGCTTGTCCTCGTCAGATCCTGGCTCGCTGACACCAGGATTCGCCAGTGTTTATTGGCATGTGCCGTTGAAAATCTCCAGGTTGGCTATAGCGAAGTCTACTGGACTCGGTTGAATTGCCTCCCGCTTGTCCGAGGACGTATTAACCATCTGCTGTAATGCTTTCCGGTCTGAAGATTTGCTCATGCAAGCGGAAATTTGCGCAGACCACCACTTGCGATTTTCGTTCCA